GCTGCCCTCATCAGGCTACCTGGAGACACTAGCCTAGGAACCATAGGTAGGAACCACCTGATACTAACGCTGCCCTCATCAGGCTACCTGGAGACACTAGCCTAGGAACCATAGGTAGGAACCACCTGATACTAACGCTGCCCTCATCAGGCTACCTGGAGACACTAGCCTAGGAACCATAGGTAGGAACCACCTGATACTAACGCTGCCCTCATCAGGCTACCTGGAGACACTAGCCTAGGAACCATAGGTAGGAACCACCTGATACTAACGCTGCCCTCATCAGGCTACCTGGAGACACTAGCCTAGGAACCATAGGTAGGAACCACCTGATACTAACGCTGCCCTCATCAGGCTACCTGGAGACACTAGCCTAGGAACCATAGGTAGGAACCACCTGATACTAACGCTGCCCTCATCAGGCTACCTGGAGACACTAGCCTAGGAACCATAGGTAGGAACCACCTGATACTAACGCTGCCCTCATCAGGCTACCTGGAGACACTAGCCTAGGAACCATAGGTAGGAACCACCTGATACTAACGCTGCCCTCATCAGGCTACCTGGAGACACTAGCCTAGGAACCATAGGTAGGAACCACCTGATACTAACGCTGCCCTCATCAGGCTACCTGGAGACACTAGCCTAGGAACCATAGGTAGGAACCACCTGATACTAACGCTGCCCTCATCAGGCTACCTGGAGACACTAGCCTAGGAACCATAGGTAGGAACCACCTGATACTAACGCTGCCCTCATCAGGCTACCTGGAGACACTAGCCTAGGAACCATAGGTAGGAACCACCTGATACTAACGCTGCCCTCATCAGGCTACCTGGAGACACTAGCCTAGGAACCATAGGTAGGAACCACCTGATACTAACGCTGCCCTCATCAGGCTACCTGGAGACACTAGCCTAGGAACCATAGGTAGGAACCACCTGATACTAACGCTGCCCTCATCAGGCTACCTGGAGACACTAGCCTAGGAACCATAGGTAGGAACCACCTGATACTAACGCTGCCCTCATCAGGCTACCTGGAGACACTAGCCTAGGAACCATAGGTAGGAACCACCTGATACTAACGCTGCCCTCATCAGGCTACCTGGAGACACTAGCCTAGGAACCATAGGTAGGAACCACCTGATACTAACGCTGCCCTCATCAGGCTACCTGGAGACACTAGCCTAGGAACCATAGGTAGGAACCACCTGATACTAACGCTGCCCTCATCAGGCTACCTGGAGACACTAGCCTAGGAACCATAGGTAGGAACCACCTGATACTAACGCTGCCCTCATCAGGCTACCTGGAGACACTAGCCTAGGAACCATAGGTAGGAACCACCTGATACTAACGCTGCCCTCATCAGGCTACCTGGAGACACTAGCCTAGGAACCATAGGTAGGAACCACCTGATACTAACGCTGCCCTCATCAGGCTACCTGGAGACACTAGCCTAGGAACCATAGGTAGGAACCACCTGATACTAACGCTGCCCTCATCAGGCTACCTGGAGACACTAGCCTAGGAACCATAGGTAGGAACCACCTGATACTAACGCTGCCCTCATCAGGCTACCTGGAGACACTAGCCTAGGAACCATAGGTAGGAACCACCTGATACTAACGCTGCCCTCATCAGGCTACCTGGAGACACTAGCCTAGGAACCATAGGTAGGAACCACCTGATACTAACGCTGCCCTCATCAGGCTACCTGGAGACACTAGCCTAGGAACCATAGGTAGGAACCACCTGATACTAACGCTGCCCTCATCAGGCTACCTGGAGACACTAGCCTAGGAACCATAGGTAGGAACCACCTGATACTAACGCCGCCCTCATCAGGCTACCTGGAGACACTAGCCTAGGAACCATAGGTAGGAACCGCCTGATACTAACGCCGCCCTCATCAGGCTACCTGGAGACACTAGCCTAGGAACCATAGGTAGGAACCACCTGATACTAACGCTGCCCTCATCAGGCTACCTGGAGACACTAACCTAGGAACCATAGGTAGGAACCACCTGATACTAACGCTGCCCTCATCAGGCTACCTGGAGACACTAGCTTAGGAACCATAGGTAGGAACCACCTGATACTAACGCCGCCCTCATCAGGCTACCTGGAGACACTAGCCTAGGAACCATAGGTAGGAACCACCTGATACTAACGCTGCCCTCATCAGGCTACCTGGAGACACTAGCCTAGGAACCATAGGTAGGAACCACCTGATACTAACGCTGCCCTCATCAGGCTACCTGGAGACACTAGCCTAGGAACCATAGGTAGGAACCACCTGATACTAACGCTGCCCTCATCAGGCTACCTGGAGACACTAGCCTAGGAACCATAGGTAGGAACCACCTGATACTAACGCTGCCCTCATCAGGCTACCTGGAGACACTAGCCTAGGAACCATAGGTAGGAACCACCTGATACTAACGCTGCCCTCATCAGGCTACCTGGAGACACTAGCCTAGGAACCATAGGTAGGAACCACCTGATACTAATGCTGCCCTCATCAGGCTACCTGGAGACACTAGCCTAGGAACCATAGGTAGGAACCACCTGATACTAACGCTGCCCTCATCAGGCTACCTGGAGACACTAGCCTAGGAACCATAGGTAGGAACCACCTGATACTAACGCTGCCCTCATCAGGCTACCTGGAGACACTAGCCTAGGAACCATAGGTAGGAACCACCTGATACTAACGCTGCCCTCATCAGGCTACCTGGAGACACTAGCCTAGGAACCATAGGTAGGAACCACCTGATACTAACGCTGCCCTCATCAGGCAACCTGGAGACACTAGCCTAGGAACCATAGGTAGGAACCACCTGATACTAACGCTGCCCTCATCAGGCAACCTGGAGACACTAGCCTAGGAACCATAGGTAGGAACCACCTGATACTAACGCTGCCCTCATCAGGCTACCTGGAGACACTAGCCTAGGAACCATAGGTAGGAACCACCTGATACTAACGCTGCCCTCATCAGGCTACCTGGAGACACTAGCCTAGGAACCATAGGTAGGAACCACCTGATACTAACGCTGCCCTCATCAGGCTACCTGGAGACACTAGCCTAGGAACCATAGGTAGGAACCACCTGATACTAACGCTGCCCTCATCAGGCTACCTGGAGACACTAGCCTAGGAACCATAGGTAGGAACCACCTGATACTAACGCTGCTCTCATCAGGCTACCTGGAGACACTAGCCTAGGAACCATAGGTAGGAACCACCTGATACTAACGCTGCCCTCATCAGGCTACCTGGAGACACTAGCCTAGGAACCATAGGTAGGAACCACCTGATACTAACGCTGCCCTCATCAGGCAACCTGGAGACACTAGCCTAGGAACCATAGGTAGGAACCACCTGATACTAACGCTGCCCTCATCAGGCTACCTGGAGATACTAGCCTAGGAACCATAGGTAGGAACCACCTGATACTAACGCTGCTCTCATCAGGCTACCTGGAGACACTAGCCTAGGAACCATAGGTAGGAACCACCTGATACTAACGCTGCCCTCATCAGGCTACCTGGAGACACTAGCCTAGGAACCATTGGTAGGAACCACCTGATACTAACGCTGCCCTCATCAGGCAACCTGGAGACACTAGCCTAGGAACCATAGGTAGGAACCACCTGATACTAACGCTGCCCTCATCAGGCAACCTGGAGACACTAGCCTAGGAACCATAGGTAGGAACCACCTGATACTAACGCTGCCCTCATCAGGCTACCTGGAGACACTAGCCTAGGAACCATAGGTAGGAACCACCTGATACTAATGCTGCCCTCATCAGGCTACCTGGAGACACTAGCCTAGGAACCATAGGTAGGAACCACCTGATACTAACGCTGCCCTCATCAGGCTACCTGGAGACACTAGCCTAGGAACCATAGGTAGGAACCACCTGATACTAACGCTGCCCTCATCAGGCTACCTGGAGATACTAGCCTAGGAACCATAGGTAGGAACCACCTGATACTAACGCTGCTCTCATCAGGCTACCTGGAGACACTAGCCTAGGAACCATAGGTAGGAACCACCTGATACTAACGCTGCCCTCATCAGGCTACCTGGAGACACTAGCCTAGGAACCATTGGTAGGAACCACCTGATACTAACGCTGCCCTCATCAGGCAACCTGGAGACACTAGCCTAGGAACCATAGGTAGGAACCACCTGATACTAACGCTGCCCTCATCAGGCAACCTGGAGACACTAGCCTAGGAACCATAGGTAGGAACCACCTGATACTAACGCTGCCCTCATCAGGCTACCTGGAGACACTAGCCTAGGAACCATAGGTAGGAACCACCTGATACTAACGCTGCCCTCATCAGGCTACCTGGAGACACTAGCCTAGGAACCATAGGTAGGAACCACCTGATACTAATGCTGCCCTCATCAGGCTACCTGGAGACACTAGCCTAGGAACCATAGGTAGGAACCACCTGATACTAACGCTGCCCTCATCAGGCTACCTGGAGACACTAGCCTAGGAACCATAGGTAGGAACCACCTGATACTAATGCTGCCCTCATCAGGCTACCTGGAGACACTAGCCTAGGAACCATAGGTAGGAACCACCTGATACTAACGCTGCCCTCATCAGGCTACCTGGAGACACTAGCCTAGGAACCATAGGTAGGAACCACCTGATGCCACTGGCCCCAGTGCTGCCCCTACAGCTGGCCCTACCGCTTCCTCCCCCTCCCTGTCGGCTAGTACTGACACTGCACAAATAAAAAGTCTTGCTAGAGCATAGCTTGTTTACTGTCCAGTAGCATGCTAAAGTTAGCTATAGATGCTTAGCTATAGATGTAGCTTGATGCTACAGAGACACAAATAGTTGCATCTAGACTATCTGTAATATGATTACACATATTTGATTTACACATTAATTTAAAACATTTTCACTGAGCGGTGGTGAGTCTGCAGTAACATTACGTCTTTCTCCTGTGTTTGTCTTTCCAGACCTCCTGCAGGTTGGAAAAGAGGAGGATTTCTCTGAGCAGCAGCTCTGGAAACAGGAGAGGAATTCCAGTTTGGACCAAGAGGAACCAGAACCTCTGCAGATGAAAGAAGAGCAGCTAAAGCCAGAAGATCCCTGGACTAAAGAGGAAACCATGGAGCTCCCCATCAGTGAGCAGGAGGAGCAGCTGCTCCTCAAGCAGGAGGAAGGAGAGACCTTTATGACAGAAAGGGACCACATTGAACCAATCAGGAACCAAGTCATCTGTCAGGACTTTAGTGGCCTTCAGGACCAGGAACCAGAAGAAATGAATCCTAAAGACTCCGGATCAGATGAAGGATCCAAACAGAATCAGAGATGTCAGAAAACATTCAAAGGACGAAAGATTTATGAGTGTCTGTCCTGTGGGAAAAGCTTTATGCAGAAATCTTATCTTGATACACACATCAGAACTCACACTGGGCAGAAACCTTTCTCCTGTAAAATCTGTGGTAAAAGTTTTACTGAAAAACGTAACTTGACTCATCACATGACATCTCATTCTGGTGAAAGGCCTTTTTCCTGTAAGACCTGCGGAAAAATGTTTAAAAGAAAAGATGTTTTGAATGAACATATGAGAACTCACTCAGGGGAGAAGCCGTTTGGATGTCCGTTGTGTGGAAAAAGCTTTACTAACAAAACTAATCTTGACAAACACAGGAGAACTCACTCTGGTGAGAAGCCGTTCTCCTGTAAGATTTGTGAAAAAAGTTTTTCTGAAAAAGGCAGCTTGACCGACCACATGAGAACACACACAGGGGAGAAACCCTTTAAATGTCTGTTCTGTGGAAAAAGCTTTGCTCAGAAATCTGTTCTCAGCAGACACATTAGAATTCACACAGGGGAGAAGCTCTTTTCTTGTACGATTTGCGGTAAAAGTTTTACTGAAAAGGGTAGTTTGACTCAACACAGGACAACTCACTCAGATGAAAGACCTTTTTCATGTAAGACCTGTGGAAAAATGTTCAAAAGAAGAGCTTTATTAAATATACATATGGCAACTCACACAGGTGAGAAACCTTTTAAATGTCTGTCCTGTGGAAAAAATTTCACTAAGAAAAGCAGTCTTGATCGACACATCCGAACTCACACCGGGGAAAAACCTTTCTCCTGTAAAATCTGTGGTAAAAGTTTTACTCGTAAAAGTAATCTTTCCTCTCACATGACGGCTCACGGTTAGAAATGTTTTTTATGCAAAGCATGTGGAACGAGTTATATTTAAAAAAAGATGAGAACTCGGAGATGTTAGACCAGTGCTTTCCATTTCTGCTCTCTGGGCTCACCGCCCTGCGCGTCTTAGATGTTTCCAGCTTTCACACACCTGATAACTGATGAAACACAATCATCTGAATAAGGTACAGGGCAGTGTGGGGTGAAAAACACTGTTAGACACCACAGGAAGGAATAGGAGACCTTTTCCATGTCTACCTAATGTGACAATGAGAAAGTCACAGGTTAAAGGGCAGCGGTTGACTGTTTCCATGGAAACTAGAACAGATAAGGTCTGATATTGTAAACCTGGTAAATATTTAAACAAAGAGAAGAACTGGAGTCTGTAGTTCACTGTTAACCTGAAGCCCTAAATCACTGAAACATGTTTGAAAAACTAATTTAGATTAAAGATTTTAGTTTCATTTGATTTAAGGTTGAAATTACAGATCAGTTTAAAACAAACTTTGACTTATTAAAAACCTTTAGGATTAACATTTTTAAAGAGTCTGATGCTTCTTTAAAGTTTAATATCTCTGCTTTTTAAAGACTTGTTCTGGTGTAATTTCCCAGAACTCGTTCTCTGCTACACGTTTTATTTACCTGACATGATTACAGGAAGCTGTTGAATGTTTTTTACACCATTTTTTTATGATTGCACTATTTTTTGCTGGGTATTTTTTTCATACTGTAATCATGTCTTGACTAATGAACTGGGCAGCAATAAAAACCTTCTGGAACATCATTTCTATTTTTTCCATGTTTTCTCTGATATTTATCTCTAATTCATATTTTTAATGGGATTAAAATGTTCAAAGGTTGATAAAGGAACCTGCCTTCAGATCTTATTTCCAATGTTTGGTTAATTGAATCATTTCAGATTTAGTTTAAATAAAAGCGGCGCGTGTATGACATCATCAGCGTGCGCCGGCTACCGTTCCTTCATCCTGTAGCTGAACTGCTGCTAGTTTTCCTCTCATGCCTGGAAGATGTCTAGTGCTGCTACCACAGATGATCTCGCTCTCCAGATGAACGATTCAGATGAGCTAGAATGAATAGAAGGGGTAGAGCGTAGCTGCCTGTGGCCCGGGCTGCCTGGCACTACTACAGTCCAGCACGCCGATGACGTCATAAACACGCCGCTTTGTTTTAAAGAAATATAAAAATCTAACGGTGGATGTCTGGGGGCCAGTGATTGGCCTCCATGTTCTGAATGCTGGCGTACCATAAAGAATAAATGATGAACAGTTTAGTTTGTGCCTTCAAGTCGTTGCCCATAGGAAGACGTTACTTGGATATAACCTAACGGAATATCTTCAGAACGGCTCCAAATGACACTAAACTCAGATGGGAGAGTAGAACATGATGGAATAATGGAAAATCAAGGAACCGATGGAAAAAAACAGTGTTCCCCTTTAAAGTGAACGCTGAAGCAGGTCAGGAACTCAAGTCCCTGATCTAAGATAACTAGTCCTAAAAGGTCAAAGGTCAACCGGTTGATGCTTCACACGCATAGTGTAAACATTTTCACATTATTTCCCAGATCTTTGTTATAAATTGTTTTATTAGTCTATAAACATTGAATAAGCAGCGACCATAAGAGGGACAATCTAATTATATATAAATTATTATATATATATTTATATATAATATAAATATATAATTTATATAAATATATAAATAATAATCCTCACTTAAAATGCACGGCTCATAACATAAAGGAAGCACGTGTGTAACATCCTGGATCTAAATGAAGGAAATATTCTGATTAAATCTGCTGATAATATAATCCCACTGTCTGCTTTCCTCCTGCAGGACCTGCTGATCCACTCCAGACCAGGCAGGGTCCGTTCCATCAAGCAGGTTTACTGGAAAATCTACGTTTTCTTATCCAGAAATCAGGGAAACTCTGACTTTTCCTCATCCTCTGTTGCCATAGTAACATCCTCCCAGAGCTAACCTGGTCAGCAGCAGGTTTCCTTCAGTAAACTCAGTGTCCTCTGTCTCCGCTCTGCTTACAGCCGATCACGCTGCTTTAGTTCCTGATTTAGTCTGATTTTAGGCAGAGTTTGGTGTTTAAAAATGTGTAAATCATTCTCTAGGTCCGTTAGACACATGAGGTTTAAAAACAAACACTGCATGTCTGTTTGACGAGGATCTTATTAAAGAATGATCGGCGTATAGGGAGAGGATTTTACAGCTCAGCGACAGGAGAGGAGATTACTGATGATATTTAATATGAGTGAGATGAGGATCATTTTATTTTTATATAATTATATGGAAGGTATACTAACCACTAAAACCTGTCTAAGAACGACCATTTATCAGGATGATAACATCCAGAGCGGCTGCAAACAGCCACTCAGTGTTTACTGTGTTAAAGAACCCATGAGATGATGAACAGGTTCTATTTATTAGAACATTTTCATTCCTCACCTGCTGCCAGATGATGTCACCTAAATAGATGCATTGATCTACGACCATTATAGAAATAATTCTGCAACGTATCGCGGTCACAGCACTCTATGGCAAGCAGTTTGATATTCATTAGTTTAACAAAACATGTATCCCTGATATCTTTGTCCAAATGACCATTTCAAACGAAATGACATCCTTCACATCTAGAATAAACATTCTGGATGTATAGATCTACATATTACTATATTACTGAGCGCCAAAGAACGTATTTCATTGATGTTCTGCATCTGCTTCTGTCTCCTTGAACCCCAGTGGGCCTCAGCAGATGGCCGCTCACACTGAGCCTGGTTCTGCTGGAGGTTTCTTCCTGTTCAAAGGGAGTTTTTCCTCTCCACTGTCGCTACAAGCATGATTGGTGTGAGGGATTGTGTTTTACCTGGTGTTTAACTATTCCTGATGTGACTGTAGAGGCGCCTGGCCTCAGACGCAGCACAGAGCCGTTAGCTTCAGCACAGAGCCGTTAGCTTCAGCACAGAGCCGTTAGCTTCAGCGCAGAACCGTTAGCTTCAGCGCAGAGCCGTTAGCTTCAGCACAGAGCTGTTAGCTTCAGCGCAGAGCCGTTAGCTTCAGCACAGAGCCGTTAGCTTCAGTGCACAGAGCCGTTAGCTTCAGCGCAGAGCCGTTAGCTTCAGTGCAGAGCCGTTAGCTTCAGCAGAGAGCCGTTAGCTTCAGCAGAGAGCCGTTAGCTTCAGCACAGAGCCGTTAGCTTCAGCGCACAGAGCCGTTAGCTTCAGCGCAGAGCCGTTAGCTTCAGCACAGAGCCGTTAGCTTCAGAACAGAGCCGTTAGCTTCAGCACAGAGCCGTTAGCTTCAGCGCAGAGCCGTTAGCTTCAGCACAGAGCTGTTAGCTTCAGCACAGAGACGTTAGCTTCAGCGCAGAGCCGTTAGCTTCAGCACAGAGCCGTTAGCTTCAGCACAGAGCCTTTAGCTTCAGGACAGAGCCGTTAGCTTCAGCGCAGAGCCGTTAGCTTCAGCACAGAGCCGTTAGCTTCAGCACAGAGCCTTTAGCTTCAGGACAGAGCCGTTAGCTTCAGCGCAGAGCCGTTAGCTTCAGCACAGAGCCGTTAGCTTCAGCACAGAGCCGTTAGCTTCAGGACAGAGCCGTTAGCTTCAGCACAGAGCCGTTAGCTTCAGCGCAGAGCCTTTAGCTTCAGGACAGAGCCGTTAGCTTCAGCGCAGAGCCGTTAGCTTCAGCACAGAGCCGTTAGCTTCAGCACAGAGCCGTTAGCTTCAGCGCAGAGCTGTTAGCTTCAGCACAGAGCCGTTAGCTACAGCACAGAGCCGTTAGCTTCAGCACAGAGCCGTTAGCTTCAGCACAGAGCCGTTAGCTTCAGCGCAGAACCGTTAGCTTCAGCGCAGAGCCGTTAGCTTCAGCACAGAGCCGTTAGCTTCAGCGCACAATCTGAACATCCAGAGAAGAAATGACCAGAAGCAACTTTTATAAGAGAAGTTAACGTAGATTCCTTCTTCATGGGATCAAACGATGGGATAAACTTCCAGGAATGAGAGTAAACTTGTCTGGTTTCTAAGAAAGAATCTGAGAGTTTTAGAAATCTGGCAGCTCTTCAAAAAACAATAAAAAAAAAAAAACATAACTACTCTAATTCTGTTATCAAAGAGTTTCTGATTGTTGTTCAATAAAGAGATTGGACAGCAGAGGAGAGGATAAAGTAATGACACCCTGCATACAGCAGGGGGAAGCATCCCTCTGTCAGCAAAAATTCAGCTAAACTTTGAACATTTACCTTCCTAATGAGTTTGGTTTTATCTGGAAGGAAGGGAAATGAATCAGGCTTTGATTAAATTCTAATAGAGATTATCCACTTCCTTGATTTTAATTGTCTAACTGAAATGTTTTATTTTACAGCTTAACTTCCGATCTAAAATGTTCGGCCGTCTCTAAGGAATCCGCCATCATCAGAGATGAGCGGGAAACATTTTACATAACTTTATTTTCCTCTTTTTTCTTTCCTTGTTAAGGTAAAGGTGTTGGCAGCTTTATGCTTTAATGTTTCCCAATTAAAACTGAATTCAAACTAATTAGTTTTTGCAGAGCTGAGCATAAAAACCAAAAGCTTGTAGTTTTTAGTCACGTCTCACAAGCAGCCACCGTTTCAACGATTGTTGAGAGAAAACATGCAGCCCTGAAATCTAAATGTTTTTCTGCTAACACATTTTCATTTCTAATTTGATATTTCTAAATGAATTTCGGTCGGTTTTTGCTGGGATGTCAGATTATTATAAGGTGGGAAAAAGTTCCAGCATGAACCCAGCTGGTCCCAGGACATTCAGTGCCCACCCAGCTGCTCTAACACGCCCCCTAGTGGACCAAAAACACAGTACACTTCATCAGGTTTAACGTTGGGGTTGTTTAGTATTCAATAATTATCTGGAATCCAAACAAAGGTTTTTATTTATAAGTTTAATTAATTTTCAAACTGACAGTTTTTGTTGTTTTACGGCACTAGTGGCTCGTTTTTCTGACAGTAGGCTGACAGGAAAGGGGGATGAGAGAGGGAGACATGCAGCAAAGGACCACAGGCTGGATTTGAACCCGGATCAGCCAAGGACTAACCCCAGAATCCCTCATCCTCCATCACCGCTGCTCTCCAGACCACCGGCGCAGAGCCTACAGCCTCCGCTGTTCCTCCTGTCCTGCTACTCTCCCACCTCCTCGGAGTTTAAGGAGAGTGTTGTGCCATATGCCATGATCATAGTTTTTGGACATTGGGAACCAGTGTCCAAATTTCATCTTGACAGGATGATGTGGAATCAGCTGTGGAATCTCTGCAACAACCCCCGTTTCAGCAAAGGCCTCCACAGGCAAGTCTTCCAGATAAGCTTTGGTTCCAAACACAGAATCCATCTTAAACTGTAATCTGGTTTTCAACCGTTTTTCCCTTCATCTTTGTACATAGTAGTTAGTTTAGTTTAGTTGAGTTTTACTAGTCTTAGTTGAGAGTGTTAAACTGAAATACGTTTGACTTGGAGCTGAATGATTTTTGTTAATAAAATCTTATATTTTGAACAGAAGTTGTGGTGAATTTATTCCATTAATGTGCAGAAATAACTGTTTGACCATGATTAGTGCTCGAATCACTCTTTCATTTATTGTTCTAACACACAGTTAGTAGGACTGTGTGTCATAAACAGTATATAACAGCTGAAATAATATCTGATTAAATAAGATATTTTACCACCCCTACAGGGGAGGGCAATAAACATCATAAAGTATCAGAAACATAAATTCCCAGCGGGCTGGGAATAGAAAAGAACATAAAATCACAACAAGAGAGTTGGTGATTTTATTAAATTCAAAGCAGCAGAACATGCAGAAATGAACCAGGGTTTCCGCGGATCATTAAAAATCATTAAAAGTCATTAAATAATTTTTTTTACTTAAGGCCTTAATTGGCACTAAAATTTATGAAATATGTTTATCGTGGCGTTTATAATTCTTTATTAAAAATGTTTTACAAAAAACTATTTCATCAGATATATTATATCGCGATTAATTTGCGTGGAACTAATTGCAGTTGATCATAAAGCCGTATGTTCGGAAAGGAAGCTTGAGGCGAAGAAAAGGCTAGAGAATATAAATATATGTATATGTGTGTGTGTGTGTGTGTGTGTGTGTGTGTGTGTGTGTGTTTACATACATACAGGAGTCATGGAACTGCGCTTACAGCTCCTTCATATTTCATGTAATAACTTGTGTTCATGGTTCTTGTTGATGGCGTTAAAATCATTTCTAATAGCATTAAATTAGAGTCACTCATTCCTGAATAAACCCTGTGAACGTTTAATTTACTATGACATATTAAAAAAATCCTACCATCATCCAGCAGATGTTCAGTTTCTGCCCAAATATTCTGTTGTAGATTTTTGTGCTTTTTTTAATGAACTTTGTTTGTTCTCTACTCCCAAACTCAGCATCTCTTCATCCATTCCTGCAATAAGAAGTATCTTCTGTCTTGGTTTGATTAAATTTTAAGTCCCTCGTTATAAAATAGATATTTTAATGAGAAATCTGCTTCCTGGTTGGGGACCTGAGGGAGACGTGCGGAGGAGTAGCGGTGGATGTGGAACAGTTGTCATTGATTAACATGACAGACAAGCACTCCGCATGACGTACGTGGGCGGGGCGGTGACGGAGGATGTGGGATTTCGGGGGAGGGCCTCCATCAGTCCAGGCTGGTAATCTGTGATACCGGTCCTAATTTCAGTGTGTTTAAATCATCCCGGCCCGAACACTGAAGCTCCTACCTGTGACAGTAAAGAACTCTCAAGCAGTAATCCATTGTTTACTACCTAGATGATGCATGCAGTATATACAGCCCGTCCTTGTCATGCTCATCCTGGTGACGGTTGGCATGTGGTGTCATTTTCTATTTCTTCAAACTGTAAAATCATTGCAACAAACTAAATTATAGGTTAAAATAAAGGTTATCTTTAATAAAACTTCATTAATAATGAACATTATTAATGAGGTTTTACACTCATTAATAAGGCTGCTTTAAGCATCTCAGGTAACGAAGGTAAGCCCACTATCCTTCCACAGACACTCTGTTGCACCTCTCCAAAACTGTAGGTGATCGCAGACAGGAGGCTTCTGATTGGTCAGTTCTCATTCCGCTATACACTGTTTCCTGTTTGGTCCCTAATGGCAGAAACTCTGGCTGTAGTGCCGTCCACAGCGCCTGGCTCACCTCGGACTCTATCCCAGACACCGTGCAGGACGCTAGTTTGTAGCTCTGATCGACGGTCTGCTGGTTTGCACCCGAAGACCAAACACGCAGCACCACGGCCGGTCTTTGGGAAACACTCAGGGGGGAACTGTGTGTCTTCTACGTTGGATGAGGGGTTGTAGACGCTGAACAAGCTCATCAAACCGACACACGGACACCCACAATCCTAGCTAGTTCCTGATTGGCCCTCTGGCGTTGTGGCGTGGAATAACAGAGCGCAGACCACGCTTCAATATTGGGCATAAATCAAAAATATCTGCATCATACCTTCGACATGCTAACTGTGACATTCTGCTGCGGGACGATAACCAGGCCTTTAGCCTTTATGTGATCCAGAGGCATCACTCTGTGAGGGCGGGAGCCATCGGTGACCAGTCACCTTCAACAGGAGACAGAAACCCTGTCCAACCAAAGGAACTCTGTGCAGGGTCAGAGGTCACAACCCTGAATGGTTTGAGCTAGAACCCAGTGGGAGTCGGGTTTAATGTCCAAATGTGAGTCTCTCTGCAGTAAGAGGAGGTGAGAAACCACTCGACCCGGTTCATCTGGAGAAGAACCTGGATTATTATTAAAATGCAGATTCTGGAGCAACATGAGTCCAAATAAAAGACAGAGACGTTTATGATGGAGTCAGTTTTACTCAGAGCTGAAGGTTCTGGTCATTTTGGATCTTTACAGAGAAATATTACAGGAGCATTAACCAGATGAAAGAAGCAGCCTTTATGAGGTCCAGATGGTCTGGTTCTGATCCAGTTCACTCAGCAGCTGCTCATACAGGCATCTGCAGGTGAGAGTACTCGTCCTGACCCTCCTTCTCCTCCAGATGGGGCTCTGCATCCTCAGCATCCAGCTGTGGGTCAGAGGTCAGAGGTCAGAGGGCGGTACCGGTCCATAGAGGGCCGTGGGGGGGGAGGGGGTGGGGAAGGGGGGGGGGGGGGTACTCACACTCAGTAGCTCTCTGGGGCTGAAGAGGCGGGGGAGCAGCAGCATCCTGAGGGGGATGGTCAGCAGCAGCATGAAGGGGAAAGCCAGCGCCGCTGCCGTCGCCATGACAACCCACAGCAGAGACAGGCAGATCAGCTGGACCAGGGTGAACAGGTGCATCCTCAGAGTCTTCACCTGGTAGAGGGAGAGAAACGGCTCAGTTCCAGAATGAGCAGAGACCCAGACTCGCTGAGACCGGGTCATACCTTCCGCACATAGCTGTGGTCCGGGTGGTACTTTGGTGGCATCAGCAGCAGGATGAGTCGCTCCGTCAGCTGGATCCCATTCAGGGACATCACCCCCATGTAGAGGAAGATACCGAACAGAACCGCCAGCGGGATCTGGCGTAGAACGTCCCCGATAACGATGGACAGACCTGACGGAGCAGAGACCTGTTAGGAATTTACAGCACGCCGTAGGCGACCCGACAGCCAGCACCCGGACACCGCCTTACCCACTAAAACCGCCACCAAAAACCCAGTCACCCTCTGCTCCTTGACCTCCTGCACCCGAGGCTTGTCTCCAGGGTCAACGGATTTGCTCATGACAGTCAGGGCGTTTGTGTGGGTAACAGAGCGAACCGTGGCGGCAGACAACCACGGCAGACCAAAGAGGGCAGAGACTCCGCCCACCACCACAATGATCAGCAGGTCCAGATGGAAGCCGGTTCCCTTCACCAGCATCCGCTCCTTTTTACTGACGATCAGCCTGAAGGCAAAAAGACCCCAAACAGAAGAACATCCGTAAAAGACCTCCACTCACCCCCAGACCAAAACCAAGAGTCCAGAACCCAGTTAAGACCCAAGTCAACTCAAAAAGACTTAGAACAGAAGCTGCTTTTCCTTAAAAAGACCAAGAGTAAAATTTCAGAGTAAAATCAAGACCTGGATTTAGATCCAAATCTCACAGAACCACAGTACTGCAAAGAACCGTCCCGGTCCAGATTGATCAGTTCTAAAACTGGTTTAAAGGCAGGTTTTAAATGGACAGTAGCTTTGGGTCAGAACCTTTACTGGGGCTGTTGGTTTTGGTCCAGGTACTGGCAGCGTGTTTATCTGAGGGAAGGGAAGTTCAGTACGCTGTGATCTGGGACTCCATGAAGAGGAGGATGAAGACCAGAACCGCCGGCAGGATGCTGGCTCCCATCATCCAAACTGGGAACTGTCCGTCAGAACCGAGTGGAGAGATGATCCAGCCCCGCTTCTCTGGACTGGACACCGAGAACCCACTGGGAACGTTGAGTTTCTGGGGACCAGCAGGTACAAGGCGGATCAGCAGGAGAACCGGCCTCAGAACCAGGGATGACGACCAGCTCCACTCACCTGGGTGTAGGTGTCCTCCACGCTGTAGTCCACAAGAACCATGATGAGGATGGCAATGGGAACGCCAAAGTCTCCGATGATTCTCCGGATCTGAAACAGAACAGACATTAATGCTCAGCAGAACCAGTGGTGAAGAACCGCCTGGTTCCCCTGACTGGCCCACATGGTTCCCCTGACTGGCCCACATGGTTCCCCCGACTGGCCCACATGGTTCCTCTGACTGGCCCACATGGTTCCCCTGACTGGCCCACATGGTTCCCCTGACTGGCCCACATGGTTCCCCTGACTGGCCCACATGGTTCCCCTGACTGGCCCACATGGTTCCTCTGACTGGCCCACATGGTTCCCCTGACTGGCCCACATGGTTCCCCTGACTGGCCCACATGGTTCCCCTGACTGGCCCACATGGTTCCCCTAACTGGCCCACATGGTTCCCCTGACTGGCCAACATGGTTCCCCCGACTGGCCCACATGGTTCCCCCGACTGGCCCACATGGTTCCCCCGACTGGCCCACATGGTTCCCCTGACTGGCCCACATGGTTCCCCCGACTGGCCCACATGGTTCCCCTGACTGGCCCACATGGTTCCTCTGACTGGCCCACATGGTTCCCCTGACTGGCCCACATGGTTCCTCTGACTGGCCCACATGGTTCCTCTGACTGGCCCACATGGTTCCTCTGACTGGCCCACATGGTTCCTCTGACTGGCCCACATGGTTCCCCTGACTGGCCCACATGGTTCCCCTGACTGGCCCACATGGTTCCCCTGACTGGCCCACATGGTTCCCCTGACTGGCCCACATGGTTCCTCTGACTGGCCCACATGGTTCCTCTGACTGGCCCACATGGTTCCTCTGACTGGCCCACATGGTTCCCCTGACTGGCCCACATGGTTCCTCTGACTGGCCCACATGGTTCCCCTGACTGGCCCACATGGTTCCCCCGACTGGCCCACATGGTTCCCCTGACTGGCCCACATGGTTCCTCTGACTGGCCCACATGGTTCCTCTGACTGGCCCACATGGTTCCTCTGACTGGCCCACATGGTTCCTCTGACTGGCCCACATGGTTCCCCTGACTGGCCCACATGGTTCCCCTGACTGGCCCACATGGTTCCTCTGACTGGCCCACATGGTTCCCCTGACTGGCCCACATGGTTCCTCTGACTGGCCCACATGGTTCCTCTGACTGGCCCACATGGTTCCTCTGACTGGCCCACATGGTTCCCCCGACTGGCCCACATGGTTCCCCTGACTGGCCCACATGGTTCCTCTGACTGGCCCACATGGTTCCTCTGACTGGCCCACATGGTTCCTCTGACTGGCCCACATGGTTCCTCTGACTGGCCCACATGGTTCCCCTGACTGGCCCACATGGTTCCCCTGACTGGCCCACATGGTTCCTCTGACTGGCCCACATGGTTCCCCTGACTGGCCCACATGGTTCCCCTGACTGGCCCACATGGTTCCTCTGACTGGCCCACATGGTTCCTCTGACTGGCCCACATGGTTCCCCTGACTGGCCCACATGGTTCCTCTGACTGGCCCACATGGTTCCCCTGACTGGCCCACATGGTTCCTCTGACTGGCCCACATGGTTCCTCTGACTGGCCCACATGGTTCCTCTGACTGGCCCACATGGTTCCTCTGACTGGCCCACATGGTTCCCCCGACTGGCCCACATGGTTCCTCTGACTGGCCCACATGGTTCAAGGTCTTTAGACCGGGTCAAGAGAACAGTCATGTTCACTGATGGACCTGAATGATGTCAACAGCTGAGTCTGATCCCAACTAGTCCCAACTGGTGAATACTGATCCAAACTAGTCCCAACTGGTGAATACTATTCCTAACTAGTCCCAACTGGTCCATACTATTCCTAACTAGTCCCAACTAGTCCATACTGATCCAAACTAGTCCCAACTGGTGAATACTATTCCTAACTAGTCCCAACTAGTCCATACTGATCCAAACTAGTCCCAACTGGTGAATACTATTCCTAACTAGTCCCAACTGGTCCATACTATTCCTAACTAGTCCCAACTGGTCCATACTATTCCTAACTAGTCCCAACTAGTCCATACTGGTCCAAACTAGTCCCAACTGGTGAATACTATTCCTAACTAGTCCCAACTGGTCCATACTATTCCTAACTAGTCCCAACTAGTCCATACTGATCCAAACTAGTCCCAACTGGTGAATACTATTCCTAACTAGTCCCAACTGGTCCATACTGTTCCTAACTAGTCCCAACTGGTCCATACTGGTGCATACTGTTCCTGGACCCTAACCAGCCTTAAAGGAAGGAAATTCTTCAGAACTCAGAGGGTCTCTGAACAGGAAGCTGGACCTGCTGCTCCTGGGGGACACCATGTCTGACCCAGGTGTCTGAACTGAGCCATCAGTTTCTGGTTCTGGTTGAGGACTTTAGGCCCCTCATCTCACCACTAATCACGTTATCAGAACTTGTTTGAACATTTAGGAGCTACTGTGGGGCTGCTTGAGACTAAATCAGGTGTTGGGCTCTACAGGCGTCCGTTTGGACCTGGTTCTGTCCAGGTAGGTACTGACCCTTCCTGGGAAGAAGGAGCTGTTCTTGAACTTCCTCAGGTAGAAGGCAATGAAATATGTTCCCGCCATGAGGACCAGTGACAGCAGCGCGGTGTTGGGCTCCCCACTGGTTTTACTGGGACCCCCCACAGTCATGGAGTGGTTGCATAGAAGAGGAGATGAGGTGCCGTTTCCATGGAAACAGGTCTGGAGTGGGTGCTCCTTAAAAATCTAAAAGAGAAGAGAGAAGAAGTGATGGAGGGGATCAGAGCTTTAGCCATTCTTGACCTGCAGGTCCCTGAACTCACCTTCACCAGTTTGGCAAAGGTCTCATAGATGAAGATGAGGGAGATGAGGAAGGAGAAGATCTCCTGAGTGAAGCGAGAAACAAATCGAACCAGGATGCTTCCCTCCAGGGCCACAGTGATGATGACGATTAGCACCAGCCAGAAGCCGATCCAGACGCGGCCGGTCAGGTACTCTATCTCATTGTCTTTGCAAAACTGAAACATAGGAACACAGAGACTGGTCATTAAAACCTACTCTGCAGACCAAAACAGGCTCTGATGGATGTTTCTTCCTGTTTTTCCTCTCTACTGTCGCTGCATGCATGCTCAGAGGGAGGGATTGCTGAAGAGTCAATATCTACCATCTATACCTGCTCATCCAGTAGGAGAGAATCTTGGATCTGAATCTATAAAGAGACCTGAGATAAGCTGATTAATCTGGATCTATAAAGTGAACTGAGGTTATCTGATTGATGTGGATCTATAAAGAGACGTGAGATTATCTGATTGATCTGATCGTGTTCGTGCCCGTCTATAGAGCCATCTATGGGTCCGTCGATAGACCGTCTATGGGTCCATCTATGGGTCCATCTATAGATCAGTCTATGGACCGTCTATAGATGCGTCTATAGAGCCGTCTATAGATGCGTCTATAGAGCCGTCTATAGACGCATCTATAGATGCGTCTATAGACCGTCTAAAGATCCCCACCTCCAGTCTCTCCTAACTGATGGAGCCCAGGCTACTGGAGAATGGAAGTCTTCTCTTCCTTTTTCTGGTCCAGAACCAGAACCAGAGCTGGAGGAGCTGATTCACTCTCAGCTGTGAACCTCCCAGCTGAAGGTCTGCCGGAGGGAACCACATCATCTAGAGTGGGAGGGTGGAGATCCACCGGTCCCTGAACCAGACCCCCTCTGGTCCTCAGCTACATATCCGCTACCAGAGGGCAGCCCTGCTCTGATTGGACTGGATGGCCCCCAGTGAAGAGGCCCCTGACTCCGTTCTCTGACCAGCTGGCTGACTTCAGCTTGGGTGATGAACCAATCCAGCCTCTTCCTCCTCCATCAAAGGGGTTTCCAAGTTTTCCAAGATGAATCGACAGATTCATCTTGGAAACGGCAAATCATTGCAGCTTGGTGGCGGTGGCGTTAGCATAGTAGCATGGACGACGAGATGATTGAAAATGAACACAACGGAGATCTAGTCCTATTGGCAGACATCCATTTAAAATGTAGGCAACGGCAGGAAAAAAGTGGTTCCTACTTTTACTTTTATACTTTAAAGCTACAGTGTGTAATTTTCAGCTACATCTAACGTCCAGACTGCAGACCACAGCAACATGAACAATATATATTTCCCGTTTACAGAGTCCAAGTCTTGTTTGTGGCACGGGGGTTACAAGGCGAGGAAGAGGGAGAGGAAGAGGGCGAGGAAGAGGGCAGAGAGGCCGGGGTGGGTGTGCAGCCAGGGCCAGGCGAGGGAGGGGTGCCAGCGGGGTGACTAGAGCAGAGGAGGAAAGGCTTGAAGATCTCCAAAGGAGCCGGAGAGAAGTAACCGAGGTATATATCCAGAAAATTATTTTACAGAAAATCACTGAATGATTACCTGTGAAACGTCAGGGACGTTGCTGAATAAGTATACTGGAGAGGAACAGCATCATCACGCAGCGTGTTATCGTAATGGGAGATCTCGCAATCGTTAGTTTGTTGGCTCTGCGCTGCCGTAGCGCAAAGATGTCTGCCTCCATGGCTGCGAGACCCGCTCCTATGTAATTATAAATAACGAATTCTAAGGCAACGCAGATATTAAGGTTAAGAGGCTGAGCTCGTAGATGATGATAAATAACATAGTTATGTATAATACCGTAAATTCTCTAATATTGGCCTGTATTCCAATAGCGGCCGGGTCTCTAATAATGGCCGGTCTCGCTGTCAGAGGAGGTAAATAATGGCCGGTCTCTCATACAGGCCGGGGCTATAAACGTTTTTTCTGGGCATACCTCAACATTATACTTGTGGTAGTAAGTAACATACAAGTACCACAGCCCTGCGCAGCTGAACGACAAGCCCTGCTGCTGCCCGTCTGCGCGATGAAGAGAACAGACACGCAGCAGAACAGGAGGAGCAGCGCGAGTGATGAGGAGAATAAAGGGAGAGATGAAGAGGAGGAGGAAACTGAGGAGGAGAATTAAACAGAATTGGAGGATTTTTATATATTTTTTTTTTACTTCAAACCAAGCGAGACATGGTAACTGTACTTTTTCAATAAATGAACCTAGTGTTTTATAGGTTCAAATAGACACAAAATCTCATTTTTATTCATTCCACTGGTAGTCTGTTTTGCTCAAATAGCAATAGAGGCCTGTCTCTAATACTGGCCTCTATCCAATAAAGGCCTGAACCGCGATGCACTTGAGTGAAATAAAGGCCCGGGCCTATATTAGAGAATTTACGGTAGTTATGTATAATATATTACATTTCTGACTGTATATCCCTGTAATTATTACACACTGTAGCTTTAAGAAATTTACAAGCCTGTACTTTGTTACTTTTACTTGAGTAAAGAAGTTTAATCAGTACTTCCACTTTTACCAGAGTATTTTTTAACACAAGTATCTGTACTTTTACTCAAGTACGGAAAGTGAGTACTTTTGCCATCTCTGCTGGCAGTGGACATGTGTTGTAAATTGGCACCATAGAAATAGAAATAAACTGAATAGAATAGGACTGTAAGATGACATTAAACCTTGTAACTGTCCTGATTTCTCTGCTCTACATCTTTCCTGTCTGACAGCCAGAGGGGTTCAGGTTGAGCTGGAGGCCTTTAGGGAGCCTCAGTATCTGGAACAGATCTAAACTCATCCTCTTCACATCCTCAGAGGATAGAAACGCAACATGGAGAAACTGCAGAAATGTCATGAGATTAAACGATTTAATGTTGGATTATAATTCCATTTCCCAATTTCATTACATTTATTTATTTCAACCATCAGGATTTAGTCTGACAGAAACTTTGAATCTTTAACCTGACTGAATGATCTGGTTGATCTAGATCTATAGAGTGATCTGAGGTGATCTGCTGCTAACTGGAGTCCATCCAGGTGGGAACATTTCATGATCTATTTTGGTTTTCATTATACCTCAGACATCGCATCACTAGTGTGTAAATAGAGGATGTGGCGACACCCCAGGTCAAAGGTCACGGGTTAGCGGATCCGGATCCACCTGCTGGCTGATCCGGACCCAACCGGATTTAAAACATTTATAAATTACTGCATGTTGTCTGAGGACAGTGTCTGAACATCACTTGCGCCGCTTCTCCTGTTACCCCGAAATCTCACATCCTCCACCCCACAGCACCCCACCTTGCAGCGCTCCGCCCTGCAGCACCCCACCCCGCAGCACCCCACCCCCCAGCGCTCAGCTCCGCCCCGCAGCATCCAGATCTCCTGCAAAGCAAAGCCTCCAGCCTCCGCTGTTCCTCCCGTATCACTGCGCTCTGACTGATCCTCAGAGCTCCAGGAGAGCATGCGCCATATTATCATTAAATTAATAGGAGCAAAACATGCAGGAATGAAGGCTTAATTTAATCTGACAGATTAAATAATCCCCATCAGCATCCAGCAGATGTTCAGTTTCTGATGGAGATGAGAAATCTGCTTCCTGGTCTGTTGAAGGACCAATAGTTTGCATCCAATCTTTGAAATAAACGCGGTTAGTTTATTTAAATATAGAAGAATTATGCTCTAATTACTGATCTGTTGTTACTATTTTAATTTGACAAACCGGATCTTCTCGCCGTTCTTTCTCCTGTTTGGTGCGATTAGAGGATCCTGACCTGGCCGGACCGGAGCGGAGCCTGAACATTTAGAGGATGTTTGGCTCAACCTGCTGCTGTGAAGCAGGATTCTCCACCATGAACAGAATCAACAATAATGAAAAATGTCTGCAGACCTTTACTGGCTGATGTTTATTTATTCAGACCCGTCTGATTTTTAATTGGTTACCCTGCCCTAGGGGGTCCTGGCCTCCACCGGGAGTTCTGTTGGTGGGTTTTCTGTCTCTTTAGTGCAGCCTGGCTCAGGCGTCCAATGGAAACAGAAGGATCTGCTCCCTCTGCGCCGCCATGCAGAGGCAGCGGTTAAGATGGCGGCATTCTCTGCAGAACTGCCGGCTAATCAGAGGGGGCGGCGCCAGATGCCGTGTAAAGCGACCTGAGGAGCTATGAAAACCTGACTTTGGCGGGAACTCTTTGTGTTGTTGAATTGGTGTGAGGTATTCTATGTGGGGGCGGGGCTATGTGGGGCGGGGCTTACGGTGCATGCAAACACTTCCTTACTGTGTAGAAAGCTTCTTCAAAAACCAGCAGCGGTCCAGAGAAGCCGATCACCAGCAGAGGCTGAGCTCCCAGCACGCTGAACACGATGCCCTGCATCGCCGTGGCAACAATCAACTCCGACACACCGATCAGACCCTCCGTCTTTTCACCTGGATCACAGGACAGAGGTCAGAGGTGTCCCAGCCGGCTTCCTTTCACCTGCCCCGCCCGTGTCACTCACCCAGCAGGCCGCCGAAGGTGATGGCAGGAGATAAGGCAGCAAAGTAGATGAAGATGATGGCCGCCATGCACTGAGGGTTCAGAGCGTCCCGGATGTCACTCAGGTACTGAGGGTATCGCCGTGTCACATCAGTGATCAGACCTCCAAAGAGACGACCCGAACGCTTCAGCGGAGCTTCACTGGACTTCAGCGGAACCAGAGAGTCTGAGAGAGAACATCAGCACGAGGTCACCAGGCTGAAAATGATGTTTCACCAATACGCTGAAAATGATGTTTCACCAATACGCTGAAAATGATGTTTCACCAATACGCTGAAAATGATGTTTCACCAATACGCTGAATATGATGTTTCACCAATACGCTGAAAATGATGTTTCACCAATACGCTGAAAATGATGTTTCACCAATACGCTGAATATGATGTTTCACCAATACGCTGAAAATGATGTTTCACCAATACGCTGAAAATGATGTTTCACCAATACGCTGAAAATGATGTTTCACCAATACGCTGAAAATGATGTTTCACCAATACGCTGAAAATGATGTTTCACCAATACGCTGAATATGATGTTTCACCAATACGCTGAAAATGATGTTTCACCAATACGCTGAAAATGATGTTTCACCAATACGCTGAATATGATGTTTCACCAATACGCTGAAAATGATGTTTCACCAATACGCTGAATATGATGTTTCACCAATACGCTGAAAATGATGTTTCACCAATACGCTGAATATGATGTTTCACCAATACGCTGAATATGATGTTTCACCAATACGCTGAAAATGATGTTTCACCAATATGCTGAAAAGGATGTTTGACCAATACGCTGACGATACGCTCATTTACATCACGACTGCCTCTAAAGCACAAACCAGCTTCAAACGGCGCCAACCAGACTCAGTGGTTCTGAACCCATTCATCCTCAGGTTTATGGAGCTCTGAGGACTGCCAGACTCCCTCTGAGGGGTTTAAAAACCACCACAGATTCATGCATTCATTGAGACTGAGACTCACTTTTGTCCTGCTGTAAGCAGATCTGCTTCTCCTGGACTTTGCTGCTCTGATCGTTCTCTCCTCTTTGGACCCGAGGGACAGAGGGAAGCAGCTCATCGCTGTTGACCTCAGATGGGGGGAGAACCACGCTACGCTCTAGGAAACGGTTGATGGCCGTCAGCAGATCCTGCTGGCTCTCTGCTTGGTACGCTGCCTCAGAGAAGTGCTGCAACACAGAAGCAGCAAATGTTACCTACTGGACTTTAACGGCAGCAGAATGAGGCGTCTGGGAGCAGGAGCGCACCTTGTCTGACATCAGCGTGGAAATGGAGCGCCCGATCTGGCGGTAATCAACGTTGGCAGCAGGTGGGCCCAGCAGCAAGAAGAAGAACCTGACTGGGATGGAAACCTCCAAAACGGAGTCCAACAGAACCGCCTCCTGCAGACGCACAAACACCACAGAGGGCTGGTCCAGGAAGCCCACCGCGCCTGCAGTCACAGCACAGGGAGAAATTAACGGCATGCAGGACATGATCCGCATGCTCTGCACAGGAACCAGGTCCTGGGAGGGAGCTGAGACACATCAAAGGTCAAAGGTCACTCAGACATCACAGCTCAGGATGGTTAGAAGGAGAGACACCATCATGGCGCCATGCCAAGGGCCCAGAACTCCAGACTGACCAAAGCTAACTGGATCATCGTAAACTAATCGCAGCAAACAGACTGTCATGGTCTGACAATTCTGGATCTTTTGTTTCTGTTTTTATTCTTTGGGTTCTCCAGTTTCCTTTGTTCATTTTTTCCCTGCTTTTCTCTTCAACATTTCTGTCTAGTGTTCTAGTTTCAGTTCTTCTCTCTCATATCTTTACGTCATGTTTTCCTTTTATCTCCATTTCCTTTTCTTATCCTCTACTTTTCCCTTGGTCGTTCCTTATTTTGTAGTCATTAGTTTTATTCCCCTTTAGCCTCATTTAAGTTATCCTGTTACCCCTGGTTATTCTCTGTTATTCTCTGCTGCCCCCTAGTGTCCTTTCCTTCCTCCTTAGCTCCTTCTAGTTAATTCTGTCCACACCAGCTCCCTGGTCTGTAAGCGGTTTAAAGTGCATCATGGTGCACTTTAAACCACTGCTAAGGTGCTAAGCAGTATCAGCCGTGCCGCTGCGTCCTGTTTGGCCACGCCCCCACCTGCCTGCAGCGCTGCTCATTCTGCATGACCTCAGATGGATCCTGGCAGCAGCAGGGAGAAAATAATCCGGAATGATCCGGTACGGCGCGCTGAACTCTGACTAACTCTGATCTTCCAGCTGTGCAGAACTGCGTCTTTGCGTAGCTTAGCTCAGAGTCTGCGCTTTACGCTCCGCTCTGATGGTTCGCTCTCAGCAGTACGGCTCTTCCTGCTCTCGCTACTTAATAAACTAGATGTGGCTGATCATCCTCTGCCAAGCCTAAAGAATCCCTTAGTCTAACTATCAAGATTTGATTTCTTCCAGCTCACAGGAGGAGATGCTAAACATTCTTTCATTTCTACCAAAGGAATCCCTAAATTATATAAAATATTTCATTGCTTTCTGTTTGTATCGTCCACCAGGTCCTTACTCTGAATTTTTAGATGAGTTTTCAGAGTTCCTTTCTGATTTGGTATTAAATACTGACAGGGTCATCATAGTGGGAGATTTTAACATCCATGCTGACATTGAAGGCGATAGCTTAAGAGCAGCCTTTAATGCTATCTTAGACACTATTGGCTTTGTTCAAAATGTGAATAGTCCCACACATTCTCATCTTCATACTTTGGATCTTGTGCTGACATACGGCATAGAATGTGAAGAAATAACAGTATTTCCTCACAACCCTGTCCTCTCTGACCACTTTCTAATAACCTTCCGGATTACTTTAACAGAGTTCTCCTCCCCCAAAAGAAGGTTACATTTTAGTAGATCTTTATCAGATAGTGCAGTTATAAATTTTAAAGAATCTGCTTCACTTTCTCTCTCCTCTGTGTCACTGAGCAGTGCTGCAGAGTGCTAAAGCTTAGCTTATTCCCCTTCACAGGTTGATGATTTTGTTGATGGGGTTGCTAGTTCTCTGCATATTGCCTTAGACAACGCAGCTCCTTTGAAAATGAAAACCGTTAAAAATAGAAAGCTTGCTCCTTGGTTTAATGCAGAGCTGCGTACTTTGAAGCAAAATGCTAGGAAACTGGAGAGAAAATATCGCTCCACAGGCCTGCGGGAGTCCTTCCTAGTCTGGAAAAATGGTTTACTGCTGTATAAGAGGACCCTTTGTAAAGCAAGAGCAGCATACTTCTCCTCATTAATAGAGGAGAATAAGAATAATCCTAGATTTCTTTTTAATCCAGTTGCCAAACTCACCCAGAGCCATAGCTCTGTTGAACCGTCCATTCCACCTGCTCTTAGCAGCAATGATTTTATGGGATTCTTTATAAATAAGATTGATCTTATTAAAAATAAGATCATAAGCACTCCTCTATCCGCGATTGTACCTGAGGTAGTCATGGAATCTGAACCGGGTTTAGACTGCTTTGATCCAGTTGAACTTTCTGAATTAGCAAAATTATTGTCTTCATCTAAGCCTTCAACTTGTATGTTAGATCCAGTTCCAACCAGGTTATTTAAGGAGGTATTCCCTTTGATCTCCTCCTCCATTTTAGATGTGATTAATCTATCTCTGTTACAGGGATATGTACCTAAAGCTTTTAAGGTTGCTGGAATTAAACCTCTGCTTAAGAAACCGTCTCTTGACCCAGATGACTTGGTCAATTATAGACCTATATCCAATCTTCCTTTCTTATCCAAAATTCTTGAGAAAGTAGTTGCCAAACAAGTTTGCGATCACTTCCACCATAATGAACTTTTTGAAGAGTTTCAGTCTGGCTTTAGAGCTCATCATAGCACTGAAACAGCTCTGGTGAAAGTCACTAATGATATTCTCATGGCCTCAGATAATGGACTTGTATCTGTGCTCGTCCTGTTGGATCTCAGTGCTGCATTTGATCCAGTTGATCAGAATATTCTTTTAGAAAGACTTGAATATTTTGTTGGAATTAAAGGAACAGCTCTAGAATGGTTTAAATCTTATCTATCTGATCGAATTCAGTTTGTTCATGTTAATGATAGATCTTCAACACGCTCAAAGGTTACCTGTGGAGTACCACAGGGATCAGTGCTAGGACCAATTCTCTTTACTTTATACATGCTCCCAATTGGTAGAATTATTAGACAGCATGGGATTAATTTCCACTGTTATGCTGATGATACCCAGCTATATCTGTCTATAATCCAGATGAAGCTAACCCATTACATAGATTACAGGCATGTCTGAAGACAGAAAAACCTGGATGACTCTTAACTTTCTGCTTCTGAATGCAGACAAAACAGAAGTTATAGTCTTTGGACCAGAGTCTCTGAAAAAGAAGCTGATTAGTCAGTCACTTCATTTGGATGGGATTAAACTGATTTCAGATAATAAAGTAAAAAATCTTGGTGTTGTTTTTGATCAGGACCTGTCATTTAAATCCCATATCAAAGAGGTTTCTAGAATTTCCTTCTTTCATCTGAGGAACATTGCAAAAATGAGCAATCTCCTGTCCAGGGGTGATGCTGAGAAACTAGTCCATGCATTTGTTACTTCAAGGCTGGACTATTGTAATTCTTTACTATCAGGAAGTCCACAAACTGTAGTTAAAAGCCTTCAGCTGATCCAAAATGCTGCAGCCAGAGTTCTGATGAAAATGAAAAAGAGAGATCATATCTCTCCTATCCTGGCTTCTCTTCATTGGCTTCCTGTTAAATCCAGAATAGAATCTAAAATCCTCCTTCTCACATATAAAGCCTTAAATGGCCAAGCTCCATCTGATATCCATCCATCCATCCATCCATCTTCCTCCGCTTATCCGGGGTCGGGTCGCGGGGGCAGCAGCTTAAGAAGGGAGGCCTAGACTTCCCTCTCCCCAGCCACTTCTTCCAGCTCTTCAGGAGGAACCCCAAGGCGTTCCCAGGCCAGCCGAGAAACATAGTCTCTCCAGCGTGTCCTGGGTCTTCCCCGGGGCCTCCCCCCGGTGGGACGTGCCCGGAACACCTCACCAGGGAGGCGTCCAGGAGGCATCCTAAACAGATGCCCAAGCCACCTCAACTGGCTCCTCTCGACGTGGAGGAGCAGCGGCTCTACTCCGAGTCCCTCCCGGATGACCGAGCTTCTCACCCTATCTCTAAGGGAGAGCCCAGCCACCCTACGGAGGGAACCCATTTCGGCCGCTTGTATCCGCGATCTCGTTCTTTCGGTCATGACCCAGAGTTCATGACCATAGATGAGGGTAGGAACGTAGATCGACCGGTAAATCGAGAGCTTCGCTTTTTGACTCAGCTCTCTCTTCACCACGACGGACCGGTACAGCGCCCGCTTCACGGCAGACGCTGCACCAATCCGCCTGTCGATCTCCCGCTCCCTTCTTCCCTCATTCGTGAACAAGATCCCAAGATACTTAAACTCCTCCACTTGGGGCAGGACACCCCCCCTGACCCGGAGAAGGCACTCTACCCTTTTCCGGCTCAAGACCATGGCCTCGGATTTGGAGGCACTGATCCCCATCCCGGCCGCTTCACACTCGGCTGCGAACCGATCCAGCGAGAGCTGCAGATCACGACTTGATGAAGCCAACAGGACCACATCATCTGCAAAAAGCAGAGACGCAATCCTAAGGCCACCAAAACGGATCCCCTCAACACCTTGGCTGCGCCTAGAAATTCTGTCCATGAAGGTAATGAACAGAATCGGTGACAAAGGGCGGCCCTGGCGGAGTCCAACTCTCACTGGAAACGAGCCCGACTTACTTCCGGCAATGCGGACCAGACTCTGACACCGGTCATACAGGGACCTGACAGCCCGTATCAAAGGGCCCGGCACCCCGTACTCCCGTAGAACCCCCCACAGGGCCCCCCGAGGGACACAGTCGAACGCCTTCTCCAAGTCCACAAAGCACATGTAGACTGGTTGGGCAAACTCCCATGCACCCTCCAGGACCCTGCTGAGGGTGTAGAGCTGGTCCAGCGTTCCACGACCAGGACGGAAACCACACTGCTCTTCCTGAATCCGAGGTTCGACTATCCGACGGACCCTCCTCTCCAGCACCCCCGAATAGACCTTGCCGGGGAGGCTTAAGAGTGTGACTCCCCTGTAATTGGAGCACACCCTCCGGTCCCCCTTTTTGAATAGGGGGACCACCACCCCAGTCTGCCAATCCAGGGGGACTGCCCCCGATGTCCATGCAATGTTGAAGAGTCGTGTCAGCCAACACAACCCCACAACATCCAGGACCTTGAGGAACTCCGGGCGGACCTCATCCACCCCCGGGGCCCTGCCACCGAGGAGCTTTTTAACCACCTCGGCGACCTCGCCCACAGAGATTGGAGAGCCCAGCCCAGAGTCCCCAGGCCTAGCTTCCTCAATGGAAGACATGTTGGTGGGATTGAGGAGGTCTTCGAAGTATTCCACCCACCGACCCACAACGTCCCGAGTCGAGGTCAGCAGCACACCATCCCCACTATAAACAGTGTTGGTGCTGCACCGCTTCCCCCTCCTGAGACGCCGGATGGCAGACCAGAATCGCTTCGGAGCCGTGCGGAAGTCTTTCTCCATGGCCTCTGATATCAGAGATCTGATTGTTCCTTATGTTCCTAACAGAGCACTTTGCTCTCAATCTGCAGGTTTACTAGTGGTTCCTAGAACTTCTAAAAGTAGAATGGGAGGCAGATCTTTTAGTTCTCAGGCTCCTCTCCTGTGGAACCAACTACCAGTTTTAGTCCGTGAGGCAGACACCCTGTCTACTTTTAAGGCTAGGCTTAAAACTTTCCTTTTTGATAAAGCTTCTAGTTAGAGTGGCTCAGGTTATCCTGAGCTATCTCTATAGTTCTGCTGCTATAGGCTTAGACTGCTGGAGGACATAGGGACCCCTTTTTCATCATTCTGCTTCATTCTATCTCTATAGTTCTGCTGCTATAGGCTTAGGCTGCTGGAGGACATAGGGACCCCTTTTTCATCATTCTGCTTCATTCTATCTCTATTCTCCCACTCTGCAGAATCTGTTAGTTCAATCTCTAACGTTCTGCTCTCTCTGCTTTTTCTCATAGTAGCTTCATCTGGTCTGTTCCTGTTTGGCTGTGACTCCATCCTGGAGAGAAATATCAGCTGTGCTGCTGCCATCAACACCTTTGTTTCTAGATGTTGGAGCTTGGCCTGTTTTCCAGTGTAGTCCTGTTTCTCTGACTGTGACTAACTGGATGTGCTCTCTTCATCCTCTGACATGGGAGCTGGCTCGGAGCTCGTCTGCCTGGCTGTGTGTTTCCTGGACGGGGCCGCCTGTGGAGCTGGTTGACAGTTGCCTTTTGTATCTATGCTTCTTTTTCTATGTCTGCTTCTGTCTCCTTGAACCCCAGTGGGCCTCAGCAGATGGCCGCTCACACTGAGCCTGGTTCTGCTGGAGGTTTCTTCCTGTTCAAAGGGAGTTTTTCCTCTCCACTGTCGCTACAAGCATGCTTAGTGTGAGGGATTGCTGAAGAGTCAATGAGTCGATGCAATCAGCTGGTTTTCCTTAGATAGAAAACTTTGTATCAATTTGACTGGATGATCTGGTTGAACTGGAAAGTGACCTGAGATGACATGTGTTGTGAATTTGGCGCTATATAAATAAACTGAATTGAATTGAATTGAATTGAATTGTTTATTTCTGGATAAAGATCCAGATGAAAAGGTTCATAGATCTTTGAATATTTCTATATCATTGTTTTTGTTTCTATTTAAATATGATGTCAATGTTTCCTTGTATTTTTTTTCTCTGTTTCCTTTAAATGTTTAAACATTTTACTTGGCATATTCATTCAGTTTAGGTCTGGGTTTCCATGGCAATACAAGCTAATTATGAAGGTTCTCTCTGTATGTTTTATATCAAACCCTGAGAATTTAAATCTGCTTTGACCCCTTAGCAGGAACCGAGGGGTTAATTCTCAGAATAAAGCTAAAATCACCAAAGTAGAAAGAAAAATGTTTTTGTTTTTTACTTTTTTGGATTTTTAATGCAGATTTTATAGATCTGTGTTTAATGCAGAATTCATAGTAGATCAGGAAGTGTTTGCTTTGGGATGGAAACCTTTGATGATAAAATCATTCCTTTATTGGACATTTTATCTGTCTGCTATATTAACCGATAGGATGCGTTCAACTAGATCTGCTATATTAACCAATAGGATGCATTCAACTAGATCTGCTATATTAACCGATAGGATGCGTTCAACTAGATCTGCTATATTAACCAATAGGATGCGTTCAACTAGATCTGCTATATTAACCAATAGGATGCGTTCAACTAGATCTGCTATATTAACCAATAGGATGCGTTCAACTAGATCTGCTATATTAACCGATAGGATGCGTTCAACTAGATCTGCTATATTAACCAATAGGATGCGTTCAACTAGATCTGCTATATTAACCAATAGGATGCGTTCAACTAGATCTGCTATATTAACCAATAGGATGCGTTCAACTAGATCTGCTATATTAACCAATAGGATGCGTTCAACTAGATCTGCTATATTAACCGATAGGATGCGTTCAACTAGATCTGCTATATTAACCAATAGGATGCGTTCAACTAGATCTGCTATATTAACCAATAGGATGCGTTCAACTAGATCTGCTATATTAACCAATAGGATGCGTTCAACTAGATCTGCTATATTAACCAATAGGATGCGTTCAACTAGATCTGCTATATTAACCGATAGGATGCGTTCAACTAGATCTGCTATATTAACCGATAGGATGCGTTCAACTAGATCTGCTATATTAACCAATAGGATGCGTTCAACTAGATCTGCTATATTAACCAATAGGATGCGTTCAACTAGATCTGCTATATTAACCAATAGGATGCGTTCAACTAGATCTGCTATATTAACCAATAGGATGCGTTCAACTAGATCTGCTATATTAACCAATAGGATGCGTTCAACTAGATCTGCTATATTAACCAATAGGATGCGTTCAACTAGATCTGCTATATTAACCAATAGGATGCGTTCAACTAGATCTGCTATATTAACCAATAGGATGCGTTCAACTAGATCTGCTATATTAACCAATAGGATGCGTTCAACTAGATCTGCTATATTAACCAATAGGATGCGTTCAACTAGATCTGCTATATTAACCAATAGGATGCGTTCAACTAGATCTGCTATATTAACCAATAGGATGCGTTCAACTAGATCTGCTATATTAACCAATAGGATGCGTTCAACTAGATCTGCTATATTAACCAATAGGATGCATTCAACTAGATCTGCTATATTAACCAATAGGATGCGTTCAACTAGATCTGCTATATTAACCAATAGGATGCATTCAACTAGATCTGCTATATTAACCAATAGGATGCGTTTTTATAAAGTAAGGAATTAATTCATAAAAAGTTTATTTGAATTCTATAAATCAAAGTTTTCTTTCCAACAGTAATGATGATCTGCATGGCAGCATTCTATACCCAGATATTGTAGCATCTAGGATAGAGCTGTCAGTCTGGGAAAGAATCTGCTTGTTATTCCAAATTGTCAAGGTTCACGTTTTATTGCAACATAAAACTATAAAACTGCCTAAAACTGTCACATATCTAATGACTAAAATGCAACTGAGACTAATAACAGTTTTTGTCCTGAAGACTGAATCTAAGATGGCTGCCAGAAACACCACTGCTGCTGCTGAGACTGAGAAAACTGGAGCCTTACAGACGGAGGTGAGCCGCACAGATCTGGAACATTCCAGGGAGTTTCTTGCTAAATTATTTGTGTCTTGATTTGTTCTATTTTCATGTGTTTTCAGCTTCTAACCAAATGCTAAAGGCTTGAGCCAAATGGTACACCATGTTAACATGCTAAAACAAGCTGTGGTTCATTTAGGCTTTAAACACTAATATGCTTGGCTGTGTGTTTCCTGGACGGGGCCGCCTGTGCAGCTGGTTGACAGTTGCCTTTTGTATCTATGCTTCTTTTTCTATGTCTGCTTCTGTCTCCTTGAACCCCAGTGGGCCTCAGCAGATGGCCGCTCACACTGAGCCTGGTTCTGCTGGAGGTTTCTTCCTGTTCAAAGGGAGTTTTTCCTCTCCACTGTCGCTACAAGCATGCTTAGTGTGAGGGATTGCTGAAGAGTCAATGAGTCGATGCAATCAGCTGGTTTTCCTTAGATAGAAAACTTTGAATCAATCTGACTGGATGATCTGGTTGATCTGGATCTATAAAGTGACCTGAGATGACATGATGTGAATTGGAGCTATAGAAATAAACTGAATAGAATTGAATTGGTTCCTGATAATTTTTTTTTTGCACTGTGAATTGCTTTTAAAACATCTTACATTTTTCCAGATAATCTTTAGTTCTCAAACATAAATCCAGCTGAACTGTGATGTCATTGCAGCATTTCATTGATTCTGGTTTTCGACCATTTTTTCCCTCTTTGTTCACAGTAGTTGAGTTTCACTAGTTTTTAGTTTAAAAGTTTTTAACTGAAATCTTTTTGACTTGGAGCTGATTGGTTCTTATGTTAATAAAAATTATATGACAGTCCCAATAATATCTGATTAAATAGCATATTTCCCACCCCTACTGGGGAGGTTGCTGTGATCCAGTTCTTAC